GGTTAGACCCTGCTCCGGAGTAGGAGCTAATTTGGTTCTTGAAAAAGGCAGTCCGGTACTAAAATCGCACCCAGTTCCGGCGGTGCGAAAACGCCAAAAAGTGGGTAGTTCCACAATTAGTTCTGGTACTATGAAAAGGTTCCCGCGGTGCGAAAGGCCCTCATGACTAACTAATGAGAACATCCTTGGAAACAAAAACAGGAATTAAACACAGGAAAATTAACACAGAAACAACAAGATGAAAAGAACATCAAAATAAGAGTCTTTGAACAGAAAATAACCCAGTCAAAACATACAATTAAAAAAAAAAAAAATATCTTAGAAATATTGAAACTAATATACTTAGTTTCAATTGTGTGTTTTTTTCTACCCACCATTACATTACAATATTTTAGATGTATAAACCTTACGAGAAATTAAAACTATGTCTGCCAGAATAAAATACATTTTAATTCATGAAAATGGTTACCTGCATGTTGCTTTTAACCAGTGTGTTGTAATTTTTTTTGGTAAAATACGAATTGAGAATTTTGTAGCTTTTTCATATAACACTAGTTCATAGTGAAAGATTTTCTGTCAATAATGTTAATTAAATGGCAATATTTTGGCATAGCACATCTCTAAGTACTCCAAAGCAAAGAGATTAATTTTAATAACAAATATGATTCATTCAAACAAGTTCCTTCATTTTCCTTAGCCAATTTATTTTGTGATAACTAATCACATTTCTACAGTTAAACAGCATTTAATTGATTAGTTTTAAGCCTTTACTTTAGTAATTTCTTCAAACATGCTCTACCTTCTCTATTTGTAAAATGACACACATTCTTTTCGATTTGTTTAAATATTGTATTGATGAGCGTAATATTCTATTATTCACAACACTGTGTTCCATTATGATTGATGTCTGTTGAATATGTTTTCTTCATAAAGCCCAACAGCAGCACAGATACCCTGCAGTCCATCACATCAGGAGACTGGGATGTCACGCAGGTTCTTGCGTATGATGAGGACAGCCAGTTAATGTGAGCCAATCCACCAACACCACAAACTGAACATCAATGATTCATTTGTCATTAAAATGGGCTTCTTAGTATGAAATCAACTGACCTAAATTACTTTCTCAATTCACATTATTTTCTTCCTTAATCTCAATGTATCTTTGGTGCATATTATCCAAAATAGTTTTTTTTTTCTTTTATCAAAATGTAATAACTTTCTCCACCTCTGAAATGATTTTCTTTTTGCCTGTGTTATCAAGGTCTCTTATTTTTTAACCTCACCACTACAACCACCTGCTTTTGTTCTCATATGAAACACTTAATTTCTTGATTCACTCAGTACCCTGGGCATAAATATTATGGGATGTATGGTAATCTTTCAGTACCATGGTATATGTTGGTAACCAAACAGTTGACGGTAGCCATTGACTTACTGTTATTTAATACATATAAAGTTAAAATATGAACACTTTATCTTAAGGTGTCCTTGTTACACATTACATGTACTTACTATTATAGTAACATTTAATTATGCATAATTACAAGCAAGTAACCCTAAGCCAAACCCTATTCCTAACCCTAACCATATAGTAAGTACTTGTAGTTAATTAGTATTATTCCATGGTCTGTCTGAATACTGGATTCTGATTGGCTGGCAGGTATGCAGTAAAACCATTTAATGCACAGGTAGTTCCAAGTCAGTTTAATCACCGTTCTATATTAATGCACTGCTTTAATTGATGCACACAAACCCACACACACACACACACAGAGAGAGAGAGCGAGAGTCGGAGATCGCAGATCGCACATGAACTTGTTGTTAACGCTTCCCCACGATTTTTATTAATAAAATAGCCTAGATACTAGATCGCTACATTATATTCCTCAACAACGATGGTAAAATGGCTAAGTACCTAATTGTTTGTAGAGAGAGACGCGCAGATGCAGCACGCAGGTACACACAACTGTCATCTCTCTCTCTCTCTCTCTCTCGATCGATAATTAATTGAAATACATGCATAATTCATTCAAATAAATGTGATCTTACCGCACTATTTCATCTCTATGTCTGATTTGAAGCGGGCAGAATGCTAGAGCTAACGTGCCATAACTGATGAAAATAACTAATTTTTACCCATTCGAAATACTAGAAATACTAGTTTTAACTTGTCTATAACTTGGCAAATGACCATGGAATAAGCGGTATAATCAAAGGCTAGCCATGCATTAAAGGATTTTAAATGCACTTCGCGTCGGGCGGTTCTTTGCCTCAACGTCGTGCATTTAAAATCCTTTAATGCACGGCTAGCCGTTGATTAACCCTTACTTACTCAGTACTTAAATGTATAATTACACTGTAACAAGGAGACCTTAAAAGAAAGTGTAACCTTAATTTATTTTAAATGTACTAAATTGCAAATTCATCATTACAAATGTCTAACTTAAAAAAAAATAATACAAAAATAAAGACAAAATTGCTCTGTTTGCTTTGGAGTCAAGACATTTGCAAATAGGATTAAAAGATGAATATGAAACAAAACTACAGAATGTCACATTTTATTATTAGCTGTTTCAACACCAAATAAAAAGGACAGCACTTTTAGAGTTCATCACACTATCTGATGTTAGCATAAGTATTGGGACAGTTGAACTTAAGGCAGATGTAAAAGATTAAAAGCTATTATTCAGTTGCAGATCTCTTGCGTG